CCGTTATAATTATCGCGACTAATAATTATGAAAATTTAGATCCGGCCTTAGTGCGGCGGGGAAGACTAGGAAAAAAACTTAATTTTTCTTGAACTCCTGAATTATTAAAAGAATACGGCGAAGCCGGTAACGGAAGTAACTGAACACATATCGATTGACCTAATAATCCCGTCTGAGACTTTACCAATAGTCGCTACCGAGAGGAGTTATATAAAATGACCACTAAATTTGGTTTTGCCATGTTTAGAAAAGAATTTGCACCGCACGCTAACAAAATTATCCAATCCTGACAAAATTTAGAGGAAAATAAACGGAAGAAAAAAGAAGCTGAATTAGGAACTTTTAAAGATGAAAACGATAAGGAAATTTGTAATTGGCTATTACATTACTTATTTACTTTTCATCAGTATAATTCTAAACAGAATTTAAATGCTTTTGCGAGTGCCGAACAAATCCAGCGTTATGATTTTGGAGTAGCCGCCAGAATGGAAGAAAATACAGCCGCTATTGCTAGTTTAATTAGTAAGGCTATTATTAATTTAGGACAAGGCATCACGGGAAAATTAAGTGAAATACGTGGGGAAATGGTCGCTAATTTCCAAGAAATTGCTAATTTACGGCAAGAAATAGATAATTTTAGGAATAATTTACAGGCCTTAGACAAAGATATTGAAAATTTCCGTCATGAATTTGCTCGTCTGCAAGACAATGTCAAGAATTCTTTACAATTAACTAGTCAACAAATAACCAGTCAATTTAGTTCGCAAATAAGTAATTTGCAAAGTCAGATTAGTCAGTTGGCCAGTCGACCGGCGGCTTCTGGTTCTAGTAGCGGGGGCGTAGATGTGAGCGATTATAATGAATTAGTTAGAAAGAGTAACAAAAAAAGCGAAATTGTCACTAATTTTACTAGAGAATTAAATAATTGTCTCAATCGTGGTGGCAGTAGCCAAGAAATAGCCAAATTAGTGCAAGATTTTATCGATAAGTGGAATACTAGTTTATAAAAAAATAATGTCAAAAATATTGTGTCAAGAGTTAGCAAAAAAAAAAAAAAAAAAACAGAATACTCACTAAATACTAAACAAACGGGGGAAGCATTAGAATTATTAAGCGGTTTAGAAAATAATAATGTGGATTTAATTTTCCTCGATCCCCAGTATGAAA